AGTTTCCTCTTGCCGTCTGCTTTTTACTTTTGCCTTTCTTTTCCCGCTTCGCAAAAACCACAGGCGATGCTGCGGACGAAATCCCGGATCTGTCGCGGACAAAGGGTCCCCATTTTTCTCGATCGTGTATTAGCAACTCGAATCCGGCGCATCGGCGGCGGCGGCGGTCTCGCGCGATCCCAAACCTGTTTTCTGCATCCGCAACCTGATACGGACAATTCGTACGAGATTCGAGCCGCAGCAGCACCGGCGGTCGTGAGAAGAAAGCCGTCTTCAGAAATCCTGCACGTCGAGACCAGATTGGATTTGCGGAGCTGCGTTATGCGCCGCTCATTTAGAAGTAACGTTTAACGCCTTAATAGTATTTTTCTCATCGGTTAGATTAATGATGCAATTTGCATAAATTTCAATGATAAAATGAATAATCGATCGCCTGGAAAATAAAAAAAAAAAGTGTCAAAATTAACGCGTGTAATTCTTTATTATTATAATAACGATTATTATATAACTGTATAAATGCATAATAATTATAATTATTGAGATTCATAATTTTTAGATACTGATGACGCGATAGAAAGAAGAATTGATATGTAGTTTCATGTGGCATTTTGCGTTTTATTCTTTTCGAGTTGAATATCTAGTTCGTGGAAATTCGCTTGATTTAGTAACCAAAACTTTAGTCATGAACAGAAGCGTCGAGCGGTGACGACGACAAAATTCCACTTCGTGCTCACGACAGGATTTATTGCCGCGACCAATAGAACATAAACCTCTTTTCCCTCGGTATGTACCGTACTTACGATTACGCAACGCCGTAAAAATCGTGCTCTAACTAGAGACGTATAATCAAAACGGTTTTATGGCTACAACACTGAGATAGTGATACGTATACTTTTTAATGTAAATTAACAAGTAATACGCGGATTGAATAATAAATAAAACATAAAATAGTAGCAAATTAAAGTAATACAAGTAGAATAAATACAATACACACAAATGTATTACACAATAATATAAAGAATAAGGTAATAAAATTAAAGAATCTGCATAACAATGAATAATTATTTTTATGTCACCGCCATTCGCAATATAGTAGTAAATGTGGTTTACTTCGCGAAATTGCATAAGTCTATGAATTATTATCCAATATATTTTCCAATATATATTTTCAAATGTCGCGTATAGTTCATCGCGGTAATTCGAGAAATGTGATTAATCAAGGCGAGATATGTAAAAGGGTATCGGCCTTTCTTGTCGTCGTCGTCGTCGTTCAATTTACGTAGTTGTACCCCACTCTACCCGAGAAACCAGCAGCAGCCAACTGGTTTAACTTGACTGGTTCCCTCGGCACGAGTGTCACGAGAAACATGACGAAGGCATTTGGAAATTTGTATGTCTCCGAGAAAATACCGTATGAAACATTGTTTTATTTTTCTCACGACTCATAGTGATCGTTGCTGATAACATGCTTCGAAGGCTTCGCAGTTGTAAAGGTGACATAGAAAAAAGCACTTGTCATTGAAGACGATTATGAGACAATTAGGCTGTATTAATTTCGCGAAATTGTTCTACGTAACAGAATATCGCAAGAAGAAAATTATATATGTGCAACCGCCTACGTTTTCATTTAGATAACATCTGTATTTGATGGGTTCTATACAATTAGTTTTTATCTCGAGATAGAATCATGCAACGCTAAGTAAATAAACTATATATATAATTAAGAATATATAATTAATATATAATTAAGCCAACCACTCTCACGGGTCCAACGAACCCTATGCGATTTTTTACATTGCTGTAACTTTTTTATAATATAATTTAAAGACCCGAATTAAATTTAAACATTTTAGAATTTTTTTCCAAAGTAGTCATTTTTTGCGAATTTTTCCAATAAAATTTCTTTGAAGCATTTTAATTAATTGAAAATAAAATATTATTTATTTGAGTCGCATTTATCTGTCTTTGTTTGATTTCGAAGTATAAATTTCACACGTTTTGAGCTAAAAAATACGTATTCAGTCTAGAGATATAGCGTGACAAAGTTGCAAGGTTCCACAAACCCGGGTGTGGCCGGGAAGATAACCAAAAATAACAATGATTTACTAGGATTAAAAATAAAGAATAATTTCTATCAATATATGAAATTTGGTTCGATCTAAAGTCAGTTCTTGCGAACGATGCACTACGATCGGTAAATCTGCTGACAGTTCGAAATTTCACACATTTTACGTGTGTATATGAAATTAGCATCTTTGCAAGTAGAATGACAAAGTCCAACCAAGTTCGCAATCTTACAATCCGTTCTGACGCTGCGGGAACGTTCTCGTTAAAAGACTCGTGCGGATCGACTTCTCACAAAGGCACGTGCTCTGACTGTTAACTAATTTAAGTAATAAAATTCCGACGCGAGCAGTCACGATACGAGTTCATCTATTCGTCTCTGAATTTTGTGGAGAATATTTTGTCGCTCCAAAACATTCTTTTGTAAAGAGAGACAAGTATTCGAACATTGGGACACTCAGTGAAATTGTTAAAACTTTATTACGAGCTACATTATTCTGAAAAACTGTATTTTTTACAAATTATAGCATACTTAATTAATTTGCTTGTTATGAGTAAGTAATACTATAGTTTATAATTATCTATCACTTAATTTTTTTATGTAATAATGACTATGTACCAGATGCTTTTATTATACGCGCTTCTATTCTTTGTATGTCATGAGATTAATTAATCACATTACGTCATGCATTAACGAGAATATACTTCTCGTGACCGCGGAATAACGAGCGTTCTTCAGATGCGCGTGTATTAACGCAAGTCGGGTAAAGCCCAGCCTTCTATGCTTCCATTATAATCACGCGCGATTACACCGAAAAGCAAGAGAAGCCACAAAGCCACAATACCTCGAGATAAAAACGTAAGCTCGAGATAAAAAGTTTCGCACATCAATTTCTTTTTTTCAAGAGAAACTGAAGATTTTTAACTCATTAATTCTTTACTTAAAAGATGAAAAGAATTGAAAAATTGTTATTTAACCAGCGCGATTCTAAATTTTTTTTTACATAAAATTCTTTCGAATTCGTTTAAGATTGACAAAAAATGAGAAATCCAAATGCGAGAGATAACTTTTAAAATCGTTTCCGGATTCCATGAAGACCGGTCTTTGTCGCAAATGTAATTTCTGCAAAATGTGCGATTGAGTGGTGATTCCCGAGGCAAAAACAAGCACGTGTCGTTCCACAGAAATCCGACGACCACGAAACCGAGAGGGATGAGAGGCAACCCGGTCGCGTCGGGCTTTTGTTTCCCGACGAGACAATCTACGGGTCGAGGTGTGTGGCGCTTAGGACGAGTTCTTCTGTCTCGCTCTCTCTGCACGTATCGATCTTCTCATACACATCTGCCATTTCCGGTCGCGCGCGCGACGTTATTACTATGGGCACATACATCGGGGAGGCGAAGGGACCCTTTTCGTCGAGGGTTCGTGATGGGTATTCGAAAGGGCGGCACAAGGGAAAACAGCACGAATCGTATCATCCCGCGTTACTAGCGCGACAATCTCGGTGTGTTGAATGGAAGCGCGGCGGAGCACTTCCTCTTTTGTTCAAAAAAAGGAACGGGAATAGTTGTCGTGAGGTGGGTGACAATTGTCTGCAGTCAGAATTTATCTGCAGAAAGGAACTCATATAGGGTTTTAAAATCGGCCCAATACTGACTGATAAGTACTGGATGATAACTTGGGCCCAGTACTGACAGTTGGTACTATTCCAGTTATTTTAGCCAGTGATTTGCCAGTGATGGCTAACAGAACTTTGACCGTCATTTGACAGCTAGTCATTTGTCAGCCAGTCTTTTGTCAGTGATGGCCCAGTACTGGTTGACGGAACCTTGGTCATCAGTTGACAGTAGCATTAGCTAAGCGTTGGATTCATTGTAACTGCTGGCGACCTTATATGGGAAGTTAACGAAAACTGCTAATTTCTAAAGCTGTCTCTTGAATTCTCATTTCAGTTTTGAATTTTTCTACAAATTTTTCAAACAAGATTTTAACAAGGAGCTGCGATTGATAGATCTAAAGTTAGTATTTTGTCTGTTTTACAAGTGACGAGTTTAATCGAGTGTCTTACTGTTAATTATGTTTCAAAGACTTGTCTTTGCGATCTTTCGCGAAATTCAATTTGCTCCTTAAACCGCGAATTGATAATTATCACCAAAAAAATCAGGATCGGATAAGATTGATCGATTGGTTGATAATGGAATGTAGTCTGCCATGAAGTTTACTACCGGAACCTGTAATTGAATTAATTATGAGGTGATCTACTGTACGATTAGCATAGAACTCGGTACAACCTCGTCTTTCTTTCCTAAGCAATGCTTGCACAATGCAGTCATAAATTACTGACTTATATGATAAGAATGCTAATGCTTGCCCCTCACTGTTTGACTCAATGAAACTTCTAATCACGATCGATCAGCTGCGTGGCATTCATTAGGCATAACAGGAACATAATCTGATTGCTCGTCAACTGAAGACAGCCTTTGCTTCATTCGTACTTCTCGACTGTTTTGCTGAATTCATTTCCATAATATCTAAAAATCACATATGAACGCTAACGTTTTTGTATCCTTTTAGAATAATAATAACGCAATCGAATTTGCTGACATATTTCTGTATTATTTTTTTCTCTAGAGAAAATTTCAGCAGTCAATGTTTTTTTTGATTATGAGTTACAAGATCAGAAATGAAACGCTTTCCATAAACAAAGCATCGGAAATAAAAATAAACAATAAAACTAGTTTTCCATTTAATTTTATGTGCGCGTCTCTTTGGCGGATGGTTAATTTAAAACTCGATTGCTAAAATAAAAATCAGGAGCTTATGAAATGGAGTGACAAAAAATATTGCCGTTATTTTAAGCTAATTCTCGTTCATTGACAATTCTGTCGATGATGATAAACATGAAGCATCTCTTCTTTTTACAGATTAAACGAAAATGGCAGTATTTGGGTTGGTCTCGGCGGTCGCCGGGTTCGTCAAGGTGCGGTATTTGATCGACAAGGCTGTTATCGACAACATGGTCTTCAGAATGCATTACAGGATCACGTCGGCCATTCTGTTTCTTTGTTGCATTATTGTTACTGCCAATAACTTGATAGGTAAGATACCTTCTTTCAGTTTCTGCTGCGTGTATCAAAGGTCTTTTCTCTCTTACATCTCGAGAATTCTATAGAAATCCTTGAAAGTCTTCTAGAAATACAATCGAGAAACTTTTTTATGTTATGATAATCTTTGACTTTTATCGTCGACTTTTATGGTCCTCAAAATGAATACGATTATTATTGTCTTAGATTATCCAAACATAAAGCGACTAAAAATGAGAATTTATCGCACTTAATATAACAGCAAATATGATAAATGTCGTCGGTAAATATAAGAACTTTTATAAAAGAGCAGGGAAAGATTCGGCGATATTTCAAAGCACGAAGAATGAGTTTAAAAATAGAGACGCGAAGATGAGAATCATTTAAGCTGCGTGGGATATCGTCAGGTTAAAGATCAAGCGACTACTTGCACCGTAAGCCAAGTGCAGCTGGTCGCCACCTAATCGGATGGTGATTAGGTGGCTCGGACGGAGGCGAGATGATGACGTCGCGTCCCTCTCGAGAATGTACGTTTATATATCGAAGTCTTCAAACACAAATTCTATAACGCTCCTTTATCACTGCATATCGGAGACAATGTTTAATGTCGCGACGAACGGTTGATCAGAAGAGGAGCCGTGTTCGCATCTAATGATCGTAACATACCACCTGGTGTATGCCTGTTTCTTATTACGGCTGTCGGTGAATCGAGGTCGAGTCGCGTGATTAATGATGAGTGAATCTCTGATTACGGGATGAAGCAGTTGGGAAGTAGCAATTATGCTGTAAATGATTACATGTATGTAACATTGGAAAAGAACGTACTGCTACCTACTCCTCATTGGCACTGTCAGGCTCGCGAATGGATCATGTCGATAAAAAACAAGAACAAGTTACAGATCAATGAATTAAACAATGTACGAAAATTTATTGTACAGATTTACAGAGTATACGGCAGTGATAAATCATCATAGTTCTAACTCGCGAAATTGGACATTTGATATTTCAAAGATCGCATTAAAAAAATTTATGATCTCGAAACTCGCGCTCGTTAAAAGACGATCAAATAAACCATGAGTTGGTGAACCATTGCGTAACTTAATTGTCCATAAGCGACACGATGCGAAACATCTGGTACGCATGTGAGCTATGCGTTATGCAGCACACATGTGACTTGCATTTACGAAAAGGAAAATCTCGGGGAAATCTATTCATCCTAACTATATTTTCTACTCTCATTTGCTTTTCTATTCCTCCTCAATGCATCAATTTTAAACATTTTATAAAACAATAACATCCTTCTTTTATATCATACTATAAAAATGTTATGATATCGTATAGTTCTTTTATATCACATATTTCTAAAAGTAACATTGCGATTTTTTTATTTAATGTATTAAAAATAATATTTACAATCTTTTTAAATTTTTAATTTTCTTATTTAGGTGTTGAAAAATTAGCGTGGCTGCATAGCTTTTTATAAATTTGTGCATTAATTCTTTATTATATAAATCCGCTACTCTTGTTAATTAATTAATATTATTAATAAACAACTTTCCTTAAAAAGTTTTCATAAAAAGACTTGAAGGCGAACAACAGCGCAGAAAGTATATACATGAATATTATTAATAAAAAAACAAGTATATTATCTAGATTCATGTGACCAAAACACACAGTATGTGTATTGCGAATTTAATATTCAAAATAAACTTTAATGTATTATCAAGACGTCAGGTAAGATAACTTGATGCTCAGGTTTCGAGTGGTATCGTCTAGTCTTATAGAACCATCACGCAGCATCCACTAAGCGATTCGTTTACAGCGCATCACGTGTCAAGTATAAAAAATTTATCTTCGTAAGCATAGATAACGTTCCTGCGACATTCACTAATCACGGGGGATTAACATGCATTACGGCAATTTCACGGGATAACTCCAGTAATCGTGCTTGTAAGATAAGCGATAAACGTGCAAAGAAAATGCTTTTTCAAAATTTTGTAACATATATATACACATATCATGTATAAAATTAAGCTATTTATAAATCGTGTTAAAACACAGAAAATCCTGTTTATAATTTTATGTATCAGGCAGTAAATCAAAACACCTGAAAAATTATTTAAAGAATACACATATATACAAAATATATTAAAATATATTAAAATATCCAAAAATATACATGATAAAATTATAAAGACCATTCCTGAAATCTGAGACGAATTAAAGATTGTGTAAAATATGTTTTATACATTTTAAGATTCGAAAGATTCGAGCTACCCCGCATCTCATTTCTCACGTAATTTATGTTATATCGTATCTAACTAGTAAATATACAGAGAGACCATCGATTTCATCGATCGTGATCGTAAAACGGCCGCGGCCTGTAATCCTTTGTCTTTCTTTCGCAGGCGATCCCATCAACTGCCTATCGGAACTACCCTCCGGCCATGTGATCAACACGTATTGCTGGATCACGTACACATTCACGCTGCCGGGCAACCTCGCGAAGCCCGTGGGTACCCACGTGCCCCATCCGGGTCTGGGTGGCGATTATGGAGAGAAAAGGTACCACTCATACTACCAGTGGGTGCCGTTCATGCTGTTCTTCCAGGGTGTACTGTTCTATTTACCACATTGGATGTGGAAGCAGTGGGAGGAAGGTAAAATCAGGATGATATCCGAAGGACTGAGAGGTGCCATGATGGACTCTAAGCAAGAGCGTCAATCTAAAACCGAAAGACTGGTTCAATATCTCATGGAGACCATGCACTTGCATAACAGCTACGCTGCTGGATATTTCTTTTGTGAGGTCCTCAACTTTGTCAATACCGTGAGTACGCCATCAAGAAACTATCTAGAAACGATATTTGAACGCTAGCATTTAAATCTCGTTTTTTAAATATAATTTCGCGTAGTTTCATCACTATAGAATGTTTTTAAATTATTATAAAGCTATGAAATACACACAGGATATCAAAATATTTCTACAAAAGTAGGATCATACTCTTTGTATTAAATTAATGATACTGAAACAATGTCTTGTCTGCTCCAGGTTGGTAACATCTTCTTCGTAGATACGTTTCTGGGTGGTGCTTTTCTTACATATGGCACGGATGTGTTGAAGTTTAGTAACATGAATCAGGAGCAACGTACTGACCCAATGATCCAAGTATTCCCACGAGTAACTAAGTGTACTTTTCACAAATTTGGTCCCTCTGGTTCGATCCAGAAATTGGACGCGCTCTGCGTGCTCGCGCTCAATATTCTCAACGAGAAAATCTACATCTTTCTGTGGTTCTGGTTTATCATATTGGCTGTCTTTTCTGGCTTGGCGGTGCTGTACAGCATGGCCATAGTGTTGATGCCCAGCACACGCGAAACGATTATCAAGAAGCGCTTCAAGTTTGGCACATCAACTACAGTTAGCACGCTCATCCGAAAAACTCAGGTAGGTTTTTCTTTAGTTAGTCAATTATGATAACTTTAATCTCACGAAGAAAATGCTCTTGTAAAAGATGTCGATAGAACATTTGTTTCGAGTAATATAATATACAGTAGTATAATAGTCTGGAAATGCTGACAGATATATTTTAAAAAGTTTCGGTTCACTGAACGATTATTATGAACGCGTTAATCCACTTAAGAATTTAATAGAAACTCTCGAATAAAAGTTGAAGGACTCTATAACTGTCGACACGATGCAACTTTTGTGTTATAAATGAAATCTTCGCGGATAATGGAAGTATAAAAGTGTCTTTTTAAATGAAATTATAATTTTACATTTTAACGTGACATTTTATTCTGAAATTTAAGAAGAAAATCGAATTTTGTACAGGTTGGTGACTTCTTAATGCTTCATTTGCTGGGTCAGAATCTGAATCTCATGACGTTCAACGAAGTGCTAGAAGAAATGTGCCGTCGTATACAATTCGGCAATGATGCATCGCCAACATCAGTACCTTCGGCACCCAGCACCCTCGAAATGTCGCCAATGTACCCGGAGATCGAGAAATTCGGCAAGGACACCGAGATCTAAATGCGAGAAGAAACTCGGCCGTCGTCGCCATCTTCCACTGCCCTTCTTCCCCTTTTACTTGTTCGTATTGTGATAATATCGAGGGCGGTTTTGTAATGCCGTCATCTCGGTGCCAATAAAGAGACAGATTCGTGCCGCGCTGTCAACTACATTATCGCGCGAGGAGCTATGTAAAACCATACGCGCACCGGACGTCTCTCTGCTGCCCATCGGGGCTCATGTTTAACGTAGCCTTACTGTCACACGACACTCGTAAAACGTAAGCTCAGCATTAAAAAAGCCTTGATACTTGTCTCCTGTCAACGAGAGTTTCGCTCATTATCGCGTTCTTGTTAAAACGCGAGGCGATCCTTGACGTTTATGTTCAATGAGACTTCCAATTGGAAATTTCTGAAAACTGTATCTTGCAAACTATACGTTGATCTTTATTTTTTCTGTTTAATCACTTTTCATTCAAAATTGTTATGCAATTCATTTCTGATTGGAGATTCACTCGGCAATTTCATTATATTCGCTCGTGTATAAAATAATACATCAATAAATTTGTACAAATTAATGCGCGAATTATCTCGGTAGTTCCTTCGTTGAAACTTTTGTCATTACGAGATGTTCATTTATCATTGTTACATTGCTATTACGCAATTTGAACGTAGCCTTCGTCATCTCCTTATTCAGCTACAATCGTTACGAGATTTTCATGTACCATAAAAACAAAGTTAGAACGCGTAAAATCGCACAAGCCAACAAGGCTTTTTGCCGATTAGTTCTCCAATGAGATTTCTATTGTATTACTTATTTTTTCTTCTTATAAGTATTTTCGCTTGAATGGCAAATCACATGGTGAGAATTACGTAACGAGCATTGTATTTCAACATGTCAATCAGACTTGTCTACCAGAAGAACGCATACTAATTGTCTTACACTGCAGCGGCACGAACCGATATTAGATTTATATCATATAAATATATAAATGTAGATGATAACGCGCGCAATGCTCTCAGATTATAAGACGATGCACATGTAATTGTTTACAATCGTTAAGTCGCAACACGTTTTCAAATGTGATAAGAGTCACATTCCCACTCGCTATAATATCGAGTCATTTTAATTATTAATCATTTGTTCCATATAAATTTATTCCATGCCGATTTATTTCACGATTTGGAGGGGAGAAAACGGTCACATGCGAGACACGTGAATTCATAACGATGTCCCATACGCAACATTCCTTTTTATACCATCAAAAGAATAAAAGCAGACATCGAAGCGGTGAATGTATCGCTAAAATACATTTGATACTTGCTTTTGCAATATATATAACAAATGTCCCGCAAATCGCTTACATTAGTTAGGGAGCGCGGCAATATTTTACTCAAAGTGACGTAGGAGAATATTCATTATTCCATTACTTGTGACGAAAAATGTATCGATGTTATAACGACCTCGTCACAATCACACAGAAATTCAAAGACAGGAATATGCTGCTCAACAACGAATTTTCTAATATTTTAAATAATTGTACGTATATATATTGTATGTATATTAAGTATATCCGAATATCCGAAGGTTTTCGTGCATAAGACCATTAATATGAAGCTTAAAGTTCGAGGGAATACAGCGAAATCCGTGGATTTAGACAATAATATCGTAAAATACTATTGCGTGCTATCACATGATTTTCAATGAAGATATAAAAATATTGCGACTTACTTTATACTATAAGTGTAAAGTAATTACATTTATTTTATCTTTATTAACCTATTTATAGTAGCTAATAAAGATAAAGTAACGTGTCAATATTTCAAGCAAAAGGAACAAAACAAATGTTCATACATTCCACGATTCATTATTTTTTCTATTATTTCTTTACGCGAATATTTTCACGTGACTGGCACTAAAGATTGTAACAAAGATTAAAACAAATGATATATTGAAATTTGACTGAAAAAAGAACTATGCAAGCAATCCGAGGTGATGATGTGTAGTCAAACGTTCTTTTTCGCAATTCACTTATAGGGAGTCTCCACATATCTAAAAATCTATCAAAATGATGTTTAATTTTCTACAAATATAATATTAGTTCCTGAACTATGAAAATTAATTACTTAGAATAAAAGTAGCAAAATGTAAATTTAAAATATAACGTAAAGCAGAAAAAACTATTGAAATGTATTATTATATTAGATATATAAAGGGGATTCCTCTATGAGATTATATTTTGCGATATTATCTTGCGATACATAAACATTTTCGTTTTTAACTATGTTATATTTAATGTAACGATGATAATATTTAACGTAATTAGGTACTGCATTAACGCTGATTGGAATTGCTTCAATTTATTAGGAAGAACGATATTTTCGAATATTATGTTGTCTCTTAAGCAAACTTTATTTCGCGCGTTAATTATCACGTACACAATAATCTTCCTTCCTGTTAACAGAAACAATAGAAACTTTCCATTGGATACATTCCCCATGTCCTCTTGTCCGCGAGAGTAATGTATAAGCGCTACCGACAATAACTATATATATAATAACATAACGCTACGACCCTTCCCTTTACGGTATCCGCAACCCGTTAGATTACCGACAATCGCGCTTCGAGTGATATCTTAAGATAGATGTTTAAGATGAACGAGAGAGAGGGAGAGAAAGAGAGAGAGAAAGAGCGAGAGAAAGAGAGATTAATTATATAGGAATAATAGTTGTTCGTAAAATGTGCCTTTTATATATACACACATATATATATGTATATGTATGTGTATATATATATATACATATATAGATATGAAAAAAGATTACATTAGTGTATTCTTTAGGAAGAGCGAAATGCTTCTTCTGACTCGTGTTTGATGAGAGGAAGACTGTCGACATGTGCAACGTCGTTATAGTGATTAATATGAAAGAGAATGACAGAATAAAAGAAATTCTTTCCAACAGTGTCATGTATCATTCGCTTTTATGCAGCAATTGCGCATGCAAGTGAACTTAATTAGCACGTGGTCACGCGAGAGCGAATCAATTTTGAAGTTCTCTTCAGTTGTATCAGCTGAAACTATTCGGCGCAACTGATTTCTCCAATTGCACAAAAGATCACTTTGCGCATAAATTATTTAACTAAAGTCTTTTTCTAATAAAAAAATTATATATATACATATATTTGTGTGTTATTTTTTATTAGAAAGAAATTTTAGTAGATATATAAATAAAATTTTTAATATTTTCTTCTCTGTACTCGTAACTATTAAAATTAACTCGACTGCTAATAAAAATCAATAAGTTATTTGCGCTATTGGTAATAAATATACATATATACGGTGAATATTATGCTTTTATAGTATCTATATACCATTATTAGAAAACATTCGCGCAAATCGATTAAGCAATTAAAGAAACTCGATAAGTCTTTTCTTATAAATACAAATGATGAAAGGATATGGTTTCCGCTCTCATTCCCGTGGCACGTGTCGCGAATTTAATGTTGAATAGTACATTTTTTCCAACTTACCGATTTCCCCAATCCACTTTATTGATTATCCGCAACTTCAACTCCCGCGTCTGATCAGTCGTGAGAGTGCCAGCCAAAAGTTGTCGCCGCCATTCCAATAGTTCCCGCATCACTTTACGCAACGCGTTGAATTTGTACTCCTCACGCTCCTGCATCAGACAGCAAAGACAAAGGACATATTAAATCGCTACAAAGTTTTATACGCCTGAAAATAGAGAAAAAGACTATAAAATCAATCCTTTTTATGAGCCTTGTATAACGTGAGATATAAAGAACAGAAAAAAAAATAGAAAAAAATTATGTGATCAACGAAAATGCATCAAAGAACTTTCTTAGAGAACCCTAATTAATATTAAGAGATATTCATGTATGTATAAATAACGTAGACATTTTCAAATACAGAAGCAAAGAATTGAATGAGAAAGATAGTATTAAAGGATTGCAATTTTTTCTTTATCGATCGCAATTTTAATAACGAGGAGATATTCTCTGAAACGGACTACAAAGACAGATTTCGCAATGAAGAAGAAGAGAGGAAGGCGGGCAGAGAGAAGTTCGGAATGCGGTGTACTCACCACGTACAACCTCTTCCAAATACCACCCCATTCTCGCAGAACCAGAGTGACTTCCCGGACCACCGGATCCTCCAATGGTATAACGGACTCGAAAAGACCTTCATTGTCGATTTTGCAGGGCTTCAGATGCACGTAGGAACTCGGAAAGATCCCCTTCACCGCGCGATTCTTCGTCGAGAAGCCTCTATACCAGCCTGAAATCGTCAGGAATTTCATTTTAGTTGCATTTTACCGATTACATTCCACTTATGTCTGAGAATACCTTTATACCTATATACCTTTAGCACTACAGATACGTAAACATGGCTATTGCTATTAATTTAGACAATGATGAACGTGAATATTGATGTTAAAATTAATTAATATGAAAAATATTTAGTTATTATATAAGATATCATCAGTCAATGATTTTGCATGAACCTATGAAATACGATCTTCTTCCTGCACTGAGAAAAAATAGCCTAAATTTAAATAAATATTTATTTGAATACTGCCAACTAAACGTTTACAATAAATAAATATTTACTTAATAAAAAGAAGTGATTGTTAAATCAAATTAATGTTTTTTGTACCAGATAAATAAATTTTTATATTTAATCAATATTTAGTTGGTACTATTGGAAAAATAAATATTTATTGAAATTTAGGATTTTTTTTCTCAGTGTGTATTATTATTCTGTTTGTTAAATAATTAATGCAATATTTCTATGAAATTCCGTAAGTTAATTTGAGTAAACTGCCTAAAATTAATTTTGGCGAGGAAATAGTACGAATTGTTTGATATGTGTAGATGCAATAATTAATGAAAAGAATTATTGCGTATTAATAAAGACTTAATGCAAATTTTTTAATTCAGACAAAAATATTGATATTACTCTTTAATATTCTCTCTTCGACCTCTCTCTGTATCTATATCATTCCCAGCGCTCCATCCTGGTTCAGAATACGTAATTACGTTGTCACTATCGCGCTTCCTGGTGATTTAATCATTTCCCTTGACGTTAAACGATATCAGAACTCGATACACAGTACATCGATTTCGCCCATGCAAGTAACACGGGTAAGATCAAGTATCAAATTACGTACCCGCGCACTCCTCCAAGATCTGTACGGTTTCTCCAATTTCCAAGGGTAATCCATATCGTGTGTCTCCCCGCCAATTGTATACAGCTGTAAAAGAGATCATAGTAGACATTATCAGTGAGAATTGTGTGCCAAGATATGACGCAATGATATTTTTAACGAGCATCGCCACTGTCACCGGTTAACTAGATCTCGTTACATCGTAAACTAACGTATCACCACGATAACTGTTAATAGTACACCACGAAACGACAATCACGCCTATTTGCATTATCTTATAATTATTTAAAAATAATACACATAATTCTCAATGTTAAAATTAATTCAAACGGTAAAATTATGACGCAAATTATAAGAATTAAAATTTATTCCTATTATTATATTATAAAATGTTACAATATGAAGTGTAAATTACAGCATTTTATATTCTGTGTATCTACATACACTATTTTCTAAACTATTATTTATTTATTAATATTAATATTATACATACATACAATACACGTGTTTAATTTGTATAAATTAAATGTGTATATTTGTACAAATTAAATATATATAATTGTATATTCTATTATATTGTCTGTTTTAATTATTTCTGTGATATATAGTGTTAACGAGTAATATCGTATCAAGAGATAAGATTCTATCATTTTAATAGAGATAGCTTTAGGTAAATATATTACACTATGTTGGCATTATATTGATGTATATCTTCGCAGCTACATTTTTCTAAGCATTTTATTCAACGAATTGATAACTGCTAAACCCAAGCTTGCAACAATAACGGGCTTCAATCATACGAACAAGTTAATGATTGTTCATCGAGATCGATATCACGGGATTTTTTTTAGAATTGTCAGCCATGATAAGCCGGCTTCAGGGTACCGGATACGCGTGACGATGCACGTATGACGAGCCAACTTCCGGTCCTCGGTCGCCAGAGAAACACACGCGAGACGCATCTCAATGAGCGCATCTCTATTTCTTTCTCTTTCTCGCTCGTGTTTCTCAATCCTTCTCTCTTTCTTTTCCCAACTCTGTGCGTTTTCTTGTGGATACGGTTTGTGGCTTACGTACGTGTATAGGTATACGCGAGATGTCGAGAAAGTACACAAAAAAATTTGAATTAATATTTCCAGAATGGAAATTTAATTTAGTTTCGATAATATTTTGATTAATTTAAAATAAAACGGTATATATGATTTCCAAAATGAGGAAAGGTATTTTTTCAAGTGTTTCCTAAGCAACCGGGACTTTCTCGTTGGAGTTAAATTTTTTTTTTAATTTATTTATAATTTCAATTTTTATTTTCTAACACACATATATATATA